AGGTAGCCTGGCCCCATGCCATGTAGGGCTTTAAAGGTGATAACCAACACCTTGAATTGGACCCGGAAGCAAACTGGTACGTTTAAATATAGGAATAATTCTGTTACAAGAAGCTCTGGGGATAAGAGTGAACATTTGAAGCTGTATGAGCTGTTTTGTACATTATGTTACACAAACCTGTGGCTATGACCATTAATCATGGTTTATATTAATCATGGTTTATTTAAAAATTCCTTGAGTAAAATGATTATAGTTTTTTTGCCAAGTGCCTGGTTTGGCTCTTCCCCCCCCCCCCCCTTTTTTTTTTTTAATAAAAACCCTGTTCTTGCCTTATGGATTGATTACAGTGGGGGTGAATAACCTGTCACTTTTAGATATTATGATTTACAATTCTCTTTTAGGGTGTGTGTGCCCTTGAGTCTATCTTTGATTCCTAGTGACTGCCTGGATAAGTCCCTGCAGTTTTCTGGGCCAGATTTTCGGAAGTGGTTTGCCATTACCTTCTTCCTAGAGCTGAGAGAGAATGACTGGCCCAAAGTCACCAAGCTGGCTTCATGCCAATTTCTAACCCAGTGCCTTTAACCATTACATCAGACTGGCCCTCTTATAGTTCTTACATACCTCAATTAACATGACCAATAATAAGAATCATTAAGAGGTGTGGTTCAGCAACATTGTCAAGACCAACAGTTTTCATCCTGGATGTGGTACAAAATCAAACCAGAGCAAGCTAGAAAATCACAGTCAAGCAATGATATCACAACCTAGGCATTGAAATTCATATAACAATTATTTAATGTCAGTTTTTGAAAAGCATTGTATGAATGTTGATGTTTATGACAAGCTTTTATACTTAATGACTATATTTTTATATAATGCTTATATTTTCAGATCCTATTATTCTGAAGGTTCATGAAGGTGGCATTGCAGAATTTGTAGTTGTAAGAAATGACAGTGGTACTGATGTTGTTTCTGTTTTATATGCCACTATTAATGGAAGTGCCGGTGCTGAAGAAGATTTCATGTCTTGTGAAAAAAATGGAGTGCTTTGGTTTGATATTGGAATAAAAGAACAGAATATAACTTTGTTTATCCATGATGATGATGCACCTGAATCAGATGAGAATTTTTATATAATTCTCTTCAACTCTACAGGTTTAAATTATTATTTGACTTATATAAACTAATCAGCTGTTGCTTTTTTATGTTGCTTTCCTCCCCCTGATTGATATTATGGGCAATTAAGGATGCTTAGCCAATAGCTTTTGATATTCTTCACAAAGTGTAACATCTTTACAGCCTACACTTTATCTGAAACATATGTTTAGGGCTATTTATAATATAGCTTACTTAGAAACAACCAACCACCTCCCAAACAAGATTTATTTTTTACTCACTTTTATGGAACTAATTTATATAACAATGACATTTAACATATGTTAATTTCCCCTCAATTATCTAAGACAAAAGCAGCTAATATAGGGTATTCTAAGTAATTTTTCATGTGCAAATATAATTCTGTAATTTGTAATACATTATTTGGTATCTTTGATATTCTACTGTAATGGTTTCTGTCTCTCTTACTTTGAATTTATGAATTTGAACTGTAAGTTAGAAGACCACAATCATACCAAGTTCACTTTCCTGGATGTGACTTTTTCCATAGCCAGTAGTGGGAGTCCGTCTGTTCACCATAGTGATTAAGGAATAAAATACATTGTATAGTATTGTCTTGTTCCCTATTTTCAAGCCTTTTGCTATTAGAACCTGCTTGGATAATCTCCCTTTGAGTTTTGGAGGGAGAGGAAAGATTATACATATAAGTATTTGTTTGCTATCTTTGGATGCCCTAAAAAATCTGTGTCTGGGCCTGGTGTTTACCTAAAATGTACACAGATTATATCTCATATATGTAGACCTGGATTACGTGTCTCTCACATAAAAATCTGGTAAGCAGTCTCACAATCTAGGCCTACATATGTTGGATTTTAGACCCAGTGGAAATGTAATAGCTACACAGAAATCTTGCAGACCCAAAGGTGGGGCAGATGTACCAAGCAAGTGCTAGGGAAGTCATAATCACTTTTCCCCAAACATAAAGGGTGAAGATTAACTATTTGAACCTGTTCTTAGGTATTTGGAATATGTGTGGAGATATGTTTTCTCTAGATACGATTCTATCTATCAACAAAATCATTGTTTCTTAGGAGACACAGTCATTTACAAACCTAGAATGGCAACAGTAATAATTGAAGCAAATGATGACCCAAATGGCATTTTTATACTTGAGTCTACAGGCAAAGCAGTGGAAGAAGGCAAGACCAATGACTTTTTGTAAGTAACTTTCAAATAAATACCCTTTGCCAATTCCAGTAAGTATCGTGAATCATACTTTAAAATGTTTTTTTCAGTCTAACTTACTTTTTATAGTAGTTTTTAAAGCAACAAGATGGTATTGTAAGCAGTTTCCATGTCCACAATTAAACAAAGTAAGAGTTTTAAACATGCATGATGTAAGGCAGAATTAAAAATGCAACTATAGCTGGAATTTTTACAACCATTACTCTTTTTTGGAAGTAGATATGGATATATTTTTGCCATTTTTTTTTCAGTGACAAGATTGCATAGTCTGCAGCTTCTGGACCACACAAAAATTTGGGTTCCAGAGCTCCTCCAAATTTTCCCTCCAAATTGTAATTGTTTACATTAGCAGAATGGGAAGTTATTAAATAAATGAGAAATCTATTTTATTATTAAAACTATAATTAATTGCATTAAATTTAATTATATTATTGGCTTCTTCCTTCCAATTTTTGGAGTACAGGATGGAAATTTCTCAAAGACCAAGTGTGTTTTGTATGTGTCTGATTTACAAGGTAAATTTTCAGGGCTATATTCTTGAATGATTTGAGATAGTATTTCATGCATACAAGGGAGACCAGGTGGAAGGATGTAGAGGAGTATGGAGGTGGCCTTGACTTCCAGTAGCCCTTGTGGACCCTGTTTTCTGACCTGGTCTACTTCACAAGGCTGACAAAAGGAGACCATCTGATAAAATATAGAAAAGAATTATAAGCAATTAGGGTGCAAGAGATTATGAAAGAAAATGTGATGAACAAAATGGGCATGGGAATCACTTGTGACACATCAAGCTGAATTACTACATAATAAATCCAAAATCTAGCAATTTATCAACAGATTTTTCCCCTGATGAAGTGACTTTGGTTTCTCTATTCTCTTAAGAATAAGGTACCTTCAGATATTATTATTGTTACTGTCACCATCATTATCATTATTGTGTTGAATTTCCTTTATTCTGAAACTTCCCTGAATGTTCACACCTCCAAATCTGAAAAATTCCAGTGGAAGAGTTCCTTCATGTCATTCTTCAGAATTTAATTAAAATCCAGAAAACAAAGAGCAATGATTGTTCAATGAAAGATAACATAGTCAGAGACATCCCCATATCACCTCATAAATAAGTGCAAGAATACTACATTCTGCCATTAGAATTTAATTGAAGTTTTCTTCATCCTTACAAAAGTTTCATAAGAAAGTCCCTTTCATCAAATGAAATAAGCACTAAGAAAAAAAAAAACCTTTTCTGTCTGGCACAAGAATATAAACTGAATGTGAATTTCTTGCTAAAAACACAAAACTATATTGTAAAATCAATATATAGAAATAAGGCTCATTATAAAGAAATCTGAAGAGAAAATAATATTATCATTTAGATAGTCTATCTCAACATATTGAATGGAAGTACTGGCCAACATACATATTGCTTTATAAGTTTGCTTCAAAAAGTTTTTTATGTTAAGAAATATTTTTATCTTTATTTTCATTCATGAACGTTTGTGTTGATATTAGATGAATGTGAAATGAGTCTGGCTTGTAAGAAAGTTTCTACAGTTTCAAATGTGAAGCATATTATTAGTGCTTATTCATGGATACACCCTACACCAGCAGGGGTTAAACATTTATTCTTGCTTAGCTGATCACTTTTGTTATTGTCCAATTAACTCAGCAGGAGTTGTAAACTTTCTAACAAGTGGATTAATAGATCAAAGAGATAAGTTAGTGAAACTCAGTGAATGAGAATTTTCCTTGTGCTATTTAAAATTGTGGTTACTGCTATTGCTTTCTCTGATTTCTTTTAATATGATTTATAGTAAACAAAATAAATAATGCTGATGGTAGGAAAGAATCTAAATATATATTTTAGGGCAATGTCTTTATTAGCTACCAGATATTCACCTCCTGAGATATTCAAGTCTTTTCATCAGGCAAGCCAATGAGCATTATGGAGTGGAAAAATGCCGCTTTCATTCATGATCAGAGTTTAAATGGAATACAGGAGGAGTTGAATATTTAAAATGAATTCCACCCAATGTTTTTATGGTTATATCAATGTTTCTCAAACGTGGCAGCTTTAAAATGCATGGACTTCAACTCCCAGAATTCCCCAGCCAGCTTGAGTTGAAGTCCACGCATCTTAAAGTTGCCAAGTTTGAGAAACACTGAGTTAGATTATGTCCAAGAATATCTGTAGGTTTGCTGGGATAAAGAAGCAACCAACCAGAGTTCTTTGAGTGGCTTAATATAACTGAATTGAGACATCTATCTTGATGTTGTGTATATTTTATCATTTAGAATTCACAACACATGATACTTTACTAGATGACTTAAAAAAACAAAAAAACAAAATTGAATCTTTACAGTTAGGAAGGTCCCATTCAGTGATGTTGTACAAATTTTTGTTGTAAGACATAATCCCTTATAGTCCTCTTAGATATTCCAAGTTCAAGCTATTCAAGGCTTTGAAAACAATTGACTGCTAGTATAAAGTTTTCAATATAATACATTTCAGTGTATCTCAAAAAGATTTCAAAATAATTATTTCAAAATGGTCTACATATTTCTGAAATGTTATATCATAATCCTGTGTAGCATCATCTGGGAATGGATACCAGGGCCCATTCAGCTATTTCCATGCCCCCAAGGGGTATGTGTTTAAGGCAACATTGATAATATGGCATATTGGTGATGGTAAGGAGTCTTTTGCTCAAGGAAACAAATGAGAAAATTCTCCATGAGCGCAAGATGCCTCTTGGGCATATCTAAAGTAGCTCTTTGGATCACAGCCAGGGTTTTTAATGATACTTTTTATTTCATTAAGTATTTACACTGAGCTCCTGTCCTTGTGAAAACTCAAAGGAGATAAAAGTATATTCCCAGTTTGCATTCCATTGAATAGGTCCTTTAGGACTGGAAACATTGCAGACGTTCAGGGTGTTCTTTATTGCCCTCTAAAAATATATTTTAGATGGATCATGTGGAGAATTGAAAAATGTAAGTCTGAAAATAGTTTTCTTTATTCTACTCTACAGGATCCTGAGGCACAGAGGCTACTTTGGCAATGTTTCTTTGGCCTGGCAGCTATTTAGCAATAATTCTGCTTTAGATCCAGGAGAAGAATTCTATGAAGTGTCTGGAATTGTATGGTTCATGGATGGTGAACAGTCACACTCTATAACTCTTCATGCTATTCCTGATAAAATTCCTGAATTCAATGAATTTTATATGCTAAAACTTGTGAATGCTTCAGGTACAGTTATCTATGTAGTGATACATTTAAGGTGCCACAGCCTGCCATGATTGTAGGTGGTTTAAAAAACATAAAAGCACATATAGAATAACACTGTGGAACAGTTTGCCAGTGGTGCGGGCTGTCCCCACTCTCCTGGCCTTCTGAAAAGGTGTAAAAACATGGCTGTTTCAATGGATGGCCTGGGAGCCTGATGGGGGCTCACATTGCTGGAGTTGGCTTGAGGGATGATTGATACTGCTTCCCTCATCTTCTTGATTTGTATATTGTTTTTATAGATTTGTTATTTGTGTTTTGTGTGTTGTGTGGGGGTATTTATATTTTTATCATTTTATTGTCTTGGTTTTTAATTGTAAGTTGCCCAGAGTCAGAGTTTATATGCCCAGACAGCATATACATTTAATAATAAATAATCAGTAAATCACATTAAACACATATCCACATAAGGGAAGCTCATGAGCCTCTGAACATACTTCCTGGTGTGGTTGCTTCAGTTTTATTTGCCGCCTCCATCCTGAAGACCCATTGGACTGGCTTTTTGATATGTTGCAGAAAAGGAGCCCTCTCAACTTCAGGGAACAGGCTATTCATAAGTGAGGGGGCAAACTGAGAAAGCCTTTTTCTGGACTCCATCCCCTCTTAATTTCTCACAGGGTAGGGCTCTCAGTCTTCTTTTTTGGCCAGCATGGAGTGGTTGGGCAGAATGTATCTGGGTCATACAGTTCCAATGTTAACAAGGACTGGAGCCAGAAAAAGTTTCATATGTGGTAACTCCCTACTCAATCATATTGTTCACTGGGTGGTCTTGCTTACTTCTAAAGACACTGAAGTCGCTCTTGCTTACTTCTAAAGACACTGTAATGGTAACAATGGGAAAAAGAGGGAGTACACATCTGTTGCACTGAGCATCCTGGTAGATAGATAGATAACTAAATAAGCTTATAAGAGAGTGTGTATGAATCAGTTATGAAAATAATTTCTTGGCCTTCTTTTAATGTACTTTAGGTGGGATTCCTGGTCCTGGTGGCCAGTTATCTGAAACCAACCTTTCTGTGACTGTGATGATCCCAATTAATGATGACCCCTATGGAGTGTTTATCTTAGATCCTCAAAGCCAAGACAGGGAGGTAGCAGAAGACATTCTGTCTGAAGATGATACATCCTTTATTACCAGTTTTACAGTATGGAGGCAACAGGGAACTTTTGGAACTGTTAGGATTGGCTGGGAAATATTATCTAGCACCTTCAGAGAAGGATTACCTCTAATGATTGACTACTTATTGCTTGGAAAGTTTTCAGATTCAGTAAAGTCAAAGCCTCACATGCGACGGCATCATACTGGAACAGATGTTTTATATTTTAGTGGCGAAGAAGATGCATATGGGATTATTGAGCCCGAGCTCCATGTTAGTAAAAACAGAATACTTACCATCTTCACATTTTCAGCATGGGTAATTCCTAATGCCAACAGTGATGGATTTATAATAGCAAAGGACAGTAGTAATGGACTAATATATTATGGAGTAAAAATAGGCATAAACGAATCCCACCTTTCTGTAGAGCTCTATTACACGCCATTACAGTCTAATGTGACATATATAGCTAAGATAACAGTGATGAAATACTTGGAGGAAAATACTTGGCTTCATCTTCTGATTATGCTCAGTAATGGCACTCTTGAGTTTTTCATTGATGGGAAGCCTGTGCCTGGGGGCATTAAGAGTCTCAAAGGAAAAGCAATTGCTGATGGTAAGCAACTTCTTCTTCCTCTTCTTCCTCCTCCTCTTCTTCTTACTACTACTACTACTACTACTACTATTATTATTATTATTATTATTATTTTATCCCACCTTTTTAATATATAACTCAAGGTGGTAAATGCACCTAATACTCCTGCCTTCTATTTTCCCTACTACAGCCATCCTGTAAGGTGGGTTGGGCTCTTGTAACTGAAATTTGGGATGACCAACCTCCATTCAGCAGTGAAATTGCTGAAGGTATTAAATATTTTTCTTTCATCAGATAAAAATTCAGCACCTTTCATTTACAATTCCATAAATAAATAAATATGTGAGCTTTTTATCACACAGGTCAGAATTAGATACTCTCTGTGCGATAAGTATTTACCTTTTTAAAAATGAATTGCAAATCTATATTTGACTGGGAAATTTAATTCCAAACTTACAGTTTCAAATAGCTAGCTTTGCAGTCTAGCCAATATATTTTATGCATCTTTTTAATGTAAAATTAATACTAATACAATTAACATATGATACTATTGATCTTCTATTTACAAGGCAACTTATAGTCATTGTGCTACTACAGCATCCATGGTAACAGTAGCTTTAAAAGTTATTATAAAGCAATAGGATGATAAGAAAGGATTTTTAAAGCTTTTTGTTGTGCCTGAAAGTATGATATATGTACCTTACAAGCTTTGCCAAAATGTCTCAGTACAGACACAGTTTTCTTAAGTCATTTTAGAGCCAAGAAGCATGAGGACAGGACAGGAGCAGCTTAAATAGTAAGTGTAGATATGTCCTATGTAACAGTACCTGTACTGAACAGCAACTGTCATGAAATACCACTATATGTGATCTGTCTGACAAACAGGGGTGCCACCTATCCCTAAACCCTTTAGGTGATCCAGAAGGATACCATGGCCAATAGCTCCCATCATGACCCAGACACAAAAGATTCTATCCATAAAGAACTTTTTAAAGGCATCATAGACAGCTTCTGAGAGCAAATTTGAAATGGAAGAAGTTTGAAAGAATCCCCTAACATTTTTTGCTGAAATATGAATGTGCAGATGCAATAAATGCAGAATTAAATCACACTTACTGCATGCATCTCCTGGTACTCCTTTTTCGGTAGGAAAGTATACATCCAGCTTGTCTCAATCCAACCTGTCTCAGTCCACTAAAACTAAAACTGGTGGCTCATAAACTTCTCAGATTTTCATCCCACATCAAAAGCCCAGAAACAAATGTCAGGTCCCTTTTGAGGCAGGCCATCAGCCACCAGTCATACCAGCTGCTGCACCACTAGTCTATCTTCAGCCTTTTATGCCAAACACTCCAGCACACCACCTCTCATGTAGGTGGTGAAACTTGACTGATGAAGCAGACCTTCATAGCTGTAGTTCATCAGGACAGAGATAAAAGCTAGCAGAAAAGTTTCAACAGGTCCACTTTGCTTTGTCAAGGCCAAAAAGACCAGCCTTTATGAACTAACTCTTGGATCCTGTTTACTGCTTCTGGAATTCCATTCTCTTAAGCCTTTCAAGATTTAACAGAAACTAGAGTTTTATGTTACATTAAACTTTACAGGTCACAAAAATGGACACTACTCTTCTTCGTCCAAACTACTGGCTTTCACTTTTGCTTTTCAATAAATCAGGTTTGTTATGCCCAGTTCTGATGTGTTGAAACAATGGCTAGATAAAACAAATGAAATCAAAACATATTGTTCCATGAAGTTTGAGCCAAAAGAATCTCTTTTAACTACACTGGACTTGGTTATTACTTGAAAGTAATACATGCATTTAAAATATTAATTTTAATTATATTGAAATCAGCTTTCCTGTTTTAGATAGTGAAATTCAAAATGAGTGATTAAGTACTAACCAGAATTTAATTTTTAAAAAATAAAAGTTCAAGCATTAAAAATAATATATATTTTTGTGTCTGTTTTTCCTAGGACCAGGAATAATTAAAGTTGGTGCTGGCATGAATGGTGGTAGCAGGTACAAAGGACTGATGCAAGATGTGAGGTTTTATGAATGTAAATTAACAAAGGAAGAGATCAGTGAACTTCATGCCATGCCAGCAAGGTCTGATTTGTACCCCATCTCTGGATACTTAGAATATCGACAAGGAGAAAGCAATAAATCATTCATTGTTTCTGTCAGAGATGATAAAGAAGAAGAAGGAGAGGAGCTGTTCATTCTAAAGCTTATTTCAGTTTATGGAGGAGCACGAATTTCACAAGAAAACACAACTGCAACATTAAAAATCCAGAAGAGTGATAATGCCAATGGACTATTTGGTTTCACAGGAGCATGTATTCCACAGGTAGAAAAAGCCTATTAATCTGATCCATGAAAATCCTTAATTCAAACTAACCAGCATACTTACTGGATACAGGTAGTCCTCGTTTAGCATTTGCTTCGTTTATTGACAGTTTGTAGTTGCAATGGTGATGAAAAAGTAACTTTGTGACAAATCCTCGCATTTACAACCTTCACAGGTCTGTAAAGCAAAGGAAAGTTGAAATAAGATCATAAGCACAGTCGCAGTTTAACTTAGCAACCGTTTCGCTTAACAACCAAGTTGCTGGTCCCAATCGTGGTTGCTAAATGAGGACTACCAGTCTCATTTTCTTTTCAACCTCAGCCCACCATATGCAATATGGGGATAATGATACTGACTTTGTAATCTTATAATAATTTCGTCTCTTCAGCACAGATTCAGTTGCTCGGAGAGGACCTGCAGATTGCTATCAAAATGCAGTCCTCATGTTGCATAATCTTGTTAGTTGAAAAGTCTTCATACTAGTAACACATAATCTTGGGGAATTATTGCAATTAATTTAACAATAACCTGGGGAATTGTTAACTGGAAGTAGGCTTATAAGCAGATGGAGTTATAAAGGCAAATAACACCATAGGAAGTGGGAAAAGAATGGTAGCAAATTAAGATAGAGGCTTTCCATTAGGTTATAATATGGAGATAACAGTGGATATAAGGCTTTTGTGTACTGAGGAAAGTAGTATTTTTGTCTCTTACTATGCTTCACAGATGATTATTATACCAGCTCTGACTTTAAGAACAGGTGCTCCTTGTTTTCTTATTTTCCTCCCACCTTTTTCTTTTGTTTCATGTATTTTATATGGTATTCTTGCCAATGAGAAGTGTCTCCTTGTTAATAATTGGTAAGCTGCTCTCGGAGCCTTTACAGTTCATGAATGAGGCAACATGGTTAACAAATGAACATATATGTGTAATGGGACTTTTTCAAAACAAGATGCATTTAAAAGCTAAATATTGCCTTTACTGTAGCATACGAATGTGACTTCATATTACATTTTCAAACCTGAAATCTTCTGATAATCATACTGTTTACTACAATTCTTATTTGTTTATAGGTCTCTAATGAAGGTTCTACGGTGTCTTGTGTAGTGGAACGCACCAGAGGGGCCCTGGATTCTGTTTTTGTGTATTACAGTATCTCTCAGATTGATTCTTATGGCATTAATTACACTGTTACTGACTTTGCTAACAGTAGTGGAATGATAACATTTCTTCCTTTCCAGAGATCAGAGGTAACTTGTGCATTCTTCTTCAAGTTAATAATATGGTTGTTATTCATTGCTACTTTGAAAATTTGGATAATATATTTTGCTAATCTTATGCCCAATGTTGCATATGGAAATAATCCTTTTTGATTACTACTGATGTATTTTCAGGAATGCAAACTAATTTTACTATTTATAGCATGATATTTCTGCTTTAACTGAAGGTTCATTGTACTAGTTACAGACAGTTGCTAATTTGTATTTATTTACACTGTATTTATTTACACTAAATGTAGACTGATGAATAACAATTAGAGTGGAAATGCTATCAAATCTTTTCAAACAACAGGCAGATTAGGTAATCTGAGTAAGTCTTTCATTGTATTAGCCCTAAACTTTGTGCAAGTATTTTTTTTTAATTAAATGATTGTGATATTTAGAGGAATATCTCTTGACACTTGTATCTTCTACGATTCTAAACTTCCATCTGAAAACAGCTTGCCCTGGCACCTATTTTAATGTTCTTTTATCAATATACAAATATCCCTTAATTTTTCCCAAGCCTTTTAAAATCACAATGGAGCTTTTAACTATATTTTAGCTTGCTTTATTTTTTCCTATTTATATTGTTTAAGTATTCCTAAATTTGTATGATGTTTTAATGCTGCATTTAATATTTTTGCTTTATGTTGTTCATTTTTAAATTCCTACTTTATCAGCTGTCTAAATAATGCTTTATTTGCAGTAGTTTTTAAATGATAGGACAAGATAATGGTTGATTGACCAAAAGTGTTTACGTGAGCTTTTGAATCCATTAGAAAACCTCGTCAGGTTAATATATCTATAAAATTGGTTGCAAATATATTCTCAGACTGAAATTAGGGTTTCATGTATTCAACAATGTTCATGTAAAATTTCTCACACTTTTGGATTTGCCTTTTTTAATGCAGTGACAGTATTTGTATTAAATTTGATTTTTTATCTGTCTCTTCTTCTCTATCCCTTCTCTTCCTATCCCCAGGTTTTGAATCTGCTTGTGCTTGATGATGATACACCTGAACTGAAAGAATATTTTCAGGTGACATTAGTATCTGCTGTTACTGGGGACGGAAAAACAGGCTCAACCCCAACCAGTGGAGCTAGCATAGATCCAGAGAAGGAAACTACTTACATCACCATCAAAGCTAGTGACCATCCTTATGGTAATAATTATAGGGAATCTGTTCACACATTAAACTTCATAGTTGATATATATAGATTACTGTATAGTTATTTGCATATAGCATTCAAGATGTAGACAACTGGTATATGCTATAGACGGTTTGCTGATCTACAATGTAATGCAACATGCTATGTTCATAAAAGAGTTCTGGATTATTTAGCATTCTTCATCCAGTCCTATATGTTACTAAGAGTAAACACCTGCCTAGCTCTCACAGCATTTCAGATAGAAGACTAAAAATAGTTAACGTGGGAACCTTGTAAAATTACAGCCACTGTTCTACTAAATATGCAACCTATTGTGTTTAATAGGACTTGCGTAGGACTGTATTGCCTAGCAAAATCACTAATTCTTCCTAAACCATGATAATTTTAAGTAATCCTATTATATGCAGTTTTACATATGGCTGTGTCCCATCAAAACCAATTACAGGATGTAAGATTTTTTAAAGCTGAATAAATATATCAAGAAGCATTCTTTGCTGATTAAAATGCATTGTCTCCCTACCCCATCCCCAAAATGAGGATGTGTCAAGCACATATTTAAGAGTTAAAAGTAGGGGGGGGGAAGGCTACAGCTTTATTAATGGAACGGATAGGGAAGGAGTTGTTCCTGAGGCTGAAACGTCGGATTATTCAGAGAATGTAATATTGGTCTGCAAAGGAGGCCATCAGAGATTGCCCTAAAATATCAGCCTATCAATGCAGTGTTACAGATTTTGTGGTAACCCAGGCATCTTTCATCTATATGCTTGTAATCCAGGCCACATGAGCATTACCTCCTGGCTATTGGGTTTGGAGCAGGTGTTCAGATTAAAGAATGAGGAACCACTGAAGGAGGCAGTGATGAAATTTCTATCAGTGTTGGAAGCATCAGCCACATCCAAGAACAATCTAAAGCTGACAAACATCAATTGGATATAACTTCCTGGGGGTTGTCTGCTGTGGCATATATATTAATTATTATTGTTTTGTTCTTCAGAATAATTGCTTTTTATCATCTATAGATATGCATGGATTTAATTAATTGCTATACACAATTATTTAAATAATTTATACAATTCATCATCTAAGAATTAGCAGACATTCTACATGGCTCCTGCCTTTCCATTTTTCTCTTTTCAGGGCACTATCAATCTATGCCAGCTGGAGAAGACAGGGACCTTTTTGTACTGGAGTTTATTATCCAATTGCAAAATCGCATACCTAAGCTTATTTTTCCATATCTGTAGGCAAATTCACTTGAACATGTAGCCCTGTCCAAATGGATATGGATCTTTATATGTTCAATTTATATATCAGAGGCAAACTTATTTTTATTAATACATGTTTTACCTACACTTAAGACTAAATAACGCAAGATATTTTTTTTTTCACTTGTCAGGTTTGTTACAGTTCTCCATTGGGCAGCCTCCTTCAGGCAGTGATGAAATCATTATTTCAGCCATGACAGCACCCCACATTACTGTCAAGGAAGAAGTAGGACATGTCAGTTTGCTTGTTGTTCGAGCACAAGGCCTACTTGGGACAATTGTGGCACAATACAGAACAGTTGCACTAACAGCATACAGCCCTCAAGATTATCAGGTATATAAACAGCTCTCTGAAAGAGTTGATAGAGGCTGATTAGCCTTGCCTGTATGAATTTATGATTGGAATAGTATAGCCGATGTGTACTTGTCAGTGTTTCAGAGTAAAGGGAATAGTTGGGATTGCTGCTAGTATACAGCTGTCCCTGCTGCCTGTGGCATTCTTGCCTGAGCTTTTAGATTCCGTTGCTAGATTGGCAGTAGAGTTCCCTAGGCTGTTGGTGCCTGGGAATTTCAATTTGCCACCCTGTGATGTTGAGTCCGTGGTGGGTCAGGGTTTGTGGCCTCCATGATAGCCATGGACTGTCCTAAGTAATTGATGGCCTAACACATATCGGTAGCCTCACATAGATCTTGGGCAGTGGAGCACATTAGCATCAGTCTGTTGCCATGGACAGATCACTCTCTGGTTGACTTTTGACTAACTGGTGTCACCCCTCCCTGCACAGGGGCAGGGCCTGTTCAATAGGCCTGACCCAAGTGACTGATGGACCCAATGGGGTTCCTGAGAAATCTTAGCGTTTTCCCCGAGGATCTGGTGGGTGGTTCAGCAGGGGCCCTAGTTGCTGCCTGGAATTGGTGGTTGGCTGGGGTCTTGGACCATATCATCTTATGCAGTCTTTCCCTGTGCACTGGTCCTGGGGCACACATTGGTTTACTGAGGAGCTCCAGGAGATGAAGCACCAGATACTTGGAGTCCTGTTGGAGGAAGACTTGAAGCAAGTCTGACTGGACACAGATAAAAGCCCTTATTGGGGATTATCTTGTGGTGATAAGGGCAGCAAAATGCCAATATTTCTCTGCCCTTATTGTGTCTGTTGCTAGCCATCCAGTGGCCCTATTTAGGGTTACCCGGTCCCTATTGGTTAGGGAGAACCCCTTGGAACATGTGCTGGGCCACTGAAAGGATTATTCAGGCTATATGGTGGATACAGTTGCTCAGTTATGCTGATCTATGACCATAATACATTTTTGATTTGACTTGGACTCTGAGCTTGGACTCTGAGCTGTGTTGGTGGTGGTGGTGCATCCATCTTTGTGGTTCTTGATCTCTTCGCAGCTTTTGATACTGTCTCTGTGGCTGATTCCAGTCGGTGTTGGTTCAGGGAAGATGTTGCTCCCTAGGCCCCTCCTTTCTGGGTTGCTGCTGGGTTCTGTTCTCTATTCTCTCTCCCCTCTTTTTCAGCATCTATGGTGGGTGCTGATGATACCCAATTATATATATTGACCCTGGGCTGGTCAAGAGAGGCTGCCAAGATTCTGTCCCAATGCCTAAAGACTATATGGATATGGATGGGGAGGAACTGTCTCTGATTCAATCCTACCAATACCAAGTGGCTGTGGGTGTTAGGGCAGCCTGGATCTGGGGATATTCTATCCCTGTCCTTGGGTGTGGTGGCACTTTCCCATTCGGGGGGTGCACAATTTGGGGGTCTTCCTGGACTCACAGCTCTTTGCATAGCTTCAACTGGTGTACCAGTTGCACATGGAATAATGGGCCAGCCCATGTAACCCCTTTGCTTTACAAGCTGCACTGATTGCCAGTTTGCTTCCAGGTGCAGTTCAAGGTGTTGGTCATTACCTGTAAAACCGTGCATGAGATGGGGCCTGGTTACTTGAGGGATCTCCTGCTTCCCATAGTACCTGCCTGGCCAATTAGATCTGGCATGGTTGGCGCACTTTGGGTTCCAATTAAACAATGCCATCTGTCAGGACCCTGAACGCACACCTACTCTGTAGTAACACCTGCCCTCTGGAGTGAGGTTCCCCCTGAGATCTGAATGGCCCCCACTCTACTAGTGTTTCAAACGGACCTGGCTGTTCGCTGACGCCTTTGGCAAGTGTGAGTGAAGCCACCTTTAGATTGTGTAGGTTATTTTCCTTTGTTCCCATCCAGTTTTGTCATCCTTGCCATCTTTACTCTTCATTTTTGTCCCTTGTTGTTTTTCTTATCTTTAATGTTTTAAATAATTTGTAAATCACCCAGAGTCGCTGGGAGTTGGGTGGCACGATGATGATGATGATGATGATGATGATGATGATGATGGATCAGAATGTCAGAAAGCAGTTTTAGATTTGCTCAAACCAAGAGCAGACAGATGTGAATGCCAGTATGGGGATTCTAACGAGCCTTCAGTTTTGCCACTTTCAGTGGTCAATAGGAGCACAATTCATTCAAGATACTTTGGTCATCTGTCCTAGAAATTCCAGTGCCATTTGAACATTAATATTAACACTAGTTGTCAGTATATGTTTGTGTTTTGTGTGTGTGTGTAATTTGCACTTGTGTGTGTATGTGCACGCGAATGTAATTTACGCCTCCCTAGAAGGGAGGCACCTCTTCTTGTACTGTGAGGTTATCAAATTGTGTGGGATGATTCAATCACCAGTGTGTTCAACTTGAGAGAGAGTAGAAAGTATCAGAACTCACCAGCATTCCTGTAATTTTCAGTAAGGCTCCTAATAATCTTCTCTCAATTGTGACCCAGTGGGACCACCATGTGTCCCGGGAAAAGCAGAGCAGACGTATACAGTATTACTTGGCATACAAACAAAATACATATTTCATATTGCTTTTCCCTTCTTACTTCCATAAACAGATATTAATACATAAAAGCTTTAGCTTTTTTTTTTTCCCTGCAGGGAATTACAGGCACCTTGGAATTTCTGCCAGGAGAAAGATACAAGCACATTCTTGTTAACATTACAGATAATTCTATCCCTGAACTGGAAAAGGCTTTCAAAGTAGAATTGCTGAATCCAGATGGGGCAGGTAAAGGCTTATAGAATAATTTTAACACATACTGTCTCTTTGGGAACTGAAATTGAGTTACATTTAATTCATTCTCTTTCAAAAGTGAATTGAATTTTCTTCAAAAAAGCATTCGATCTTTAATTTTCTTTTGAAGATATTAGCTGCGTATCTTCACTGTTAAACTAAACAATACTCCACATAAAGTAAGTACTATGTATGTTGTCAGGTATCATGATACTAGAGTATGTGTCAAAACCTCCCCTTTATCTGACACACATTTATCTGAAGCTTCCCCAAAACTTGATATACCAGGTTCATTAGCTTTATGGTAACCCCAGAACTGAAGCCAATTCCAACAGTTGACTGCCTCTGATACCATGAGAGCATTATTGCACAGAGATTTCTTTTGCTGCATTTACTCTTGCATGGCAGATATCTATAATGTAGCCCTGTGCCAAGGATCTGTATCATTATCAGTTATGGAAAATGAAAGCACACTGTTCCCAGCCATCCGTGTTACTTTTTTGCATGCCATAGAATTAAAAATTGGTATTAACCATTATCTTAATGGTTCACCTTTGGCATATTTAAAGGATGGAAAATTAAATCAAATCAGAGTCAAACTGCAATCTTCATTTTTAGTGTCATCATAGGATGTAAAGTTGCTCTTGATAAGTTGTAGTGAGGTTCTCTCTCCACCTTTAATTGCCTAAAAGTAAACAATATGTCTGCATATTGCTTTCCTAATCTAAGCATCAGAGCAAACTTTTGAATAGAAATTAGTACCTAGCTGATCTTGGCTGATCTTTAAAAATCCAACCTGGTTAAAAGTTGGATGAGACACCACCAGGAAATCCCTGGGCTATAGGCTAGACTGTGAAGTTAAAAAAAAAGAAACAGATGAAGGCAATGTAAAACCGCTTCTGCTTTGTTGTGAAGAAAACTACATGGGCTTCTGTAGTTAACAGAAGTCAAGCTCAATTTGAGGAAGTCTATTCTGTAACTAATTAAATCCCCCCCGCCCAGTATTTGTTTTAGCATTGTTTCTAGCACATACTAATTCAGAGAATTTCAGTTTATAGATTCTGCCTTTTCCAATTTCTTTGCTCTTTCACTTATCAAGTATATGTCACTGTTAGTTAAGGATAGTTGATATACGTAGGTAGCTAACAAAAAAGCATCATCTTTGGCTTTTATTAACATTCCTTAAGGTTTTGAAATTCTTTAAAAAATTTTCAGGTCCATCTTCTTTGTTTGCTTTTGTCCCAAATGTTTTGAAATGCTGTCTATCATCTGCATTATATATGCGTATTGTGTATCTTTGTCTTCTTAAAGTTGCTGAACTTTTTAATGGTGGCAGTGGTAGTGGTGATGGTGATTTGGACTTCCTTCCTCCTGTCCATCAATATGGTAAGTAGTTAATTATGGATTTTTTTCCCTTTCTCAGATGTATGGTTCATTGTTTTAAAACAGTGTTTTTCAAATTTGGGAACTTCAAGGTGTGTGGACTTCAACTCCCAGAATTCTATCTGTGGAATGCTGAGAGTTGAAGTCCACACATATTAAAGTTGCCAAGTTTGAAAAATACTGCTTGAAAAGAAACTGTACAATGTTGTACAATCATACCTTAATGAGAGCTTAGCTAATTTATTTTGCTTTGCCTGTTTTTTTCCCTTCCTATTCAAAGCATGCAGACTGGTTTATTTTCAAAGTATATTACCAGATTTCCTCCAGCTCCTTAATGGAGACATAAGCAGAGCTCTCTGTGTCTCAGAGTACAGTTTTCAGATCCCCCCCACCCCTGGCATGGTAAGAAAGCTCTCGTGCCAACCTCCCATGTTTCTGTCATGATGATTTACATATAAGATGATTTTAAAGATTCCTCTGTCCCCTAGCTCTTCCCCAGATCCAGAAAGATTGGGAAAGCTTGCTGAACGAGATAAGCTATAACAACTAAGTTAGAAAAAGGGGAATCCTCTGAAAATCATGTGGAGATATATTCCAGGAATGGAATTTATTCTATTTAATGAGATCTTCCAACCTTTGGAAGAGGATTATCAATATGATAGATGAATGCTGTGGGGGGGAAGTGGCAGAAAAGCTGCCTTCTTCTAAATGATTTTTCTCTGGATCTAGGGTTTAAGGGTTGCAGTTCAAACCTTTTTGGATATATCAAATAACATCTGTTTCAGTTCAGTTGCATTTATTTTGATACAGGCTACTAAACTTTGGGAATTATAAGTGAAGATGTGATCTAACTAATTTGTTAGAATTAATGCATCATATATATATTTATCCTTGATATCAGCAGGCAGTCTGGGAATAGCATCTCATATCATAGTGACTATTGAAGCCTCTGATGATGCTCATGGCGTTTTTGAATTCAGTGCTGAATCCCTCTCTCTGAATGGAACAGAACCTGAGGATGGAAGAGGAACTATCACATTTGAGGTCAACAGATATGGTCCCATATATTATTCTTGAGTTTTCATACTTTACTTGTTATGGAAATGCTCCATGCCTATATACTTTTTCAAAAATAAGATTTCTTTTGATGATAACTGTAGTTGTCATAATCTCTCTTCCTACTCTCTCTAATAGGCAGGGATACCTGAGTTTCATGAGACAGGAAATTGGAAATACCTCATTTTTTACTAACTTACAGCACCTGTATTAGTGATACTCCAGTTCAGTGACAAGATGCATAGGTCACAGGATAATAATCTTATATACAAGGGGTCCATGCTCATGAGACAGGGGATTGTGTCTATATGGCAGAAAGGATTATAAAAATTGCTGAGTGCCTAGAAATCGTGTCTCAAATTCATTTTGCTAACTAAAACTGCAAATATACATTTGTGTAGTATGTAAGGTGACATGGGAACCTCTGTTTAGCTAACTGATTTGATTATTTGTCCTCCATGATACAATAATAATGACGTATTGCTTTGCTTTTCAGGTTATTAGACATCATGGTGCATTGTCCCAGGTGATGTTATATTGGTTTATAGTGCCAAATGATACTGAAGATGTGGTTGCAACAAGTGGCAACATAACTTTCCACACAGAGCAAAGAAAAGCAAACTTAACTGTGCAGATTTTGCCTGATGAAATTCCAGAACTAGACAAGACATTTTCAGTTTATATCATTAATATTACTTGTGGACGGCTTGGAGTTCACACAAATGCTACATTAACTATTCTTGCAAATGATGACCCGTATGGACTTTTGATTTTCTCTGAAAAAAATAGGCCAATCAAAGTTGAGGAAGAAACCAAGAATGTCACCCTTACGATAGTAAGGTTGAAAGGTCACTTGGGAGTAGTCAATGTTACATATAGAACCATGCGTGATGAAGATGAATCAGCCTATCTGCCATCAAATATTGCAAGGGCAACAGTGGAGGAAGATTATCTGCCCATTTCAGGATTTGTAATCCTTTCAGCCAATGAAAGTGAAGCTACATTAGACCTCCCTATTCTGGATGACAGTGAACCAGAGAAATCAGAATCTGTATTTGTTGAGCTTCTTGGTGCCACTTTGATAGGAGAAATCCATCATCAGCCATGTAAGGCTAACTCTGTGTTACTCTTGTTCAATAATATTTAAAGCCTAATCCAAATTATATTTTCTTTACAAAATTATATTTAGCAACACTGTACATGACTAAGAGCCACTTTGGTTTAGTGATTAAGGTACTGAGCTAGGAGTGGGAAAATCTGACTTGTAGTCTTGTCTTAGGCCCAGAAGCCAGCTGGTTGGCTTTGGGCCACTCTTTCTGAGTCCTAGGAAGAAGGCAATAGTTCTGAAAAGTTGCCAAGAAAACTGCATGGACTTGTCCATGTAGTCACCAGGAGTCAAGATTAACTCACTCACACACACACACAACCATGACTACTATGTATCTTGGGCTGTGTTGTTTTTTTTTTCCTTTTAACATGGCAAACCCAATTTTAGAATATGCTTCTGATTAATGTCAGAGAATCACTTTACTGTGAGACTAGAGCTGCTAGTAGAAATAACTGAATAATTGTTGTTGTTTAGTCGTTAAGTCGTGTCCGACTCTTCGTGATCCCATGA